AAGAAAGAAAGAAAGAAAGAAAGAAAGAAAGAAAGAAAGAAAGAAAGGCAGACAGGCAGACAGGCAGGCAGGCATCTTTGGAGCAGCCCTGATCTATATGATTGAGAATCTCCTCAGACAAACTGCTCTTAATCAAATCAGGAAAACAAACTGTTAATTGTTTTCAGCTGTACTAATTCACAGGTAAGGAGGGGAAAGGAAGTGAAAAGATTTCAGTCTCTTTGAGGTTCTTTCTCTCATGACCAAGTAATTTTTTCCAGCTGTGTGCCTTCCAAATATCTATAAAGGTAGCCCTCAACTTACAACAGTTCATTTCTACAATGACCATGAAAAAAGCGACTTTTTACTGTTTTTCACATTTATGACCATTGCAGCATCCCCACAGTCAATGGGGAAACCAGATTCACTTAACAACCTTGTTACCAATTTAACAACTGCAGTGATTCAGTTAACAAATGTGGCAAGGAAAGCCGTAAAATGGGGCAAAACTCACTTAACAAATTTCTGAATTAGCAGCAATAAATTTTGGGCTCAATTGTTGTCATAAGCAGTAATTTCCTAACAGTATTTATCTTTATAGCATAAGTATGTTGTTGTGAGTCACCCAGAGTCATTGAGCTAGAATGGCATACCAGTTTAACTTATTACAGGTAGTCCTCAAGTTCATTTAGTGATTGTTCAAAGTTACAACGGCGCTGAAAAAAGTGACACGGCCATTTTTCACACTTTACGACCACTGCAGCATCCCCCATGGTCACATGATCAAAATTCGGATGCTTGACAACTGGTTCACATTTATGACGGTTACTGTGTCCCAGAGTCATACGATCCCCTTTTGCGACCTTCTGATAAGCAAAGTCAAGGGGGAAGCCAGATTCACTTAACGTGGTTAACTAACGTAACTGCAGGGATTCACTTATCACCCGTGGCAAGAAAAGCTGTAAAATGGGGCAAAACTCACTTAAACAAATGTCTCAACTTAGCAACATAAATTTTGGCTCAAGTCGAAGACTACCTGAACTATTATTACCCTTTTTTCCCCCTCAGGAGCTCAATGTAGCAAGGAAACACCTTCTCCTATTTTTTCCATACCACTCAACAGCCACCCTGTAAGGTAGGCTGGGCTAAGGAAGAGAGTGGCCGGCCAAGGGGGTTGTTTTCATGGCTGACGGTGGCTTGAGCTGCCTCCACTCCCAACACCTGGATCACTACTGACATCACCCTGATGGACTACAGTTCCCATCCTGCCCCACATCGAGCACTGGTGCCCATGGTTTTATTCTACCCACTTGGGTGAAACATTTCGAGAATATTGCCCTTAGAAAGGCAGGTCGGAGGAGGCCTCGGGCGGCGTGGAAAAAACCCGCTTTCGGGGTCCGGCCGGGGTGGGGGGGAATACCTGGATGCCAGCGGAGGGCCAGCTTCCGATAGGCTCGCTTGAGGTCTTCATCGGACGCGTCGCGTTTCACCCCCAACACTTCGTAGTGACACCTCATGCTCGGCGTCCCCAGGGACTCACCCACCTTCCCGCCGGCCGGCACCGGCACGCGAGGGACGACAGCCGGCGGAGGAAAGGGGGAAGGACCGGAAGAAGTAGGCCGGATCTAGGCCGAGCCTCCTCCTCCTCCTCGCTGCCGGGCTGGGAGGCGGAACTGACGGCTGGAGCGGGAAGGGCTTCCGTGGAAAAAGGATCATGAAACGGAGGAGGAGGTTTCGATGGCGTGGAACGTCGGGACGGGAACGTTCCGAGGCCGCCGAGCTGCTTTTGATGGCGTGGAACGTCGGGACGGGAACCGAACGTTCCGGGGTCGCTTTGGCCGGGAAGGAGCGGCGTTTGGAGCCGGTTCATTCGAAGCCGCCTCTGCCTCTTGATCAGAACGAGGGTGGGCCGGATCGGAATTAGCCACGCGGATCCGTGGCCGCAGGTAGCCCGCGATTTACAACCGATCCTTTAATGACCAAAGTTGCAACCGCACTGAAAAAAAAAAGCCACTTGGGACCGTTTTCCACACTTAGGACCGTTGAGGGACGTGATTAAAATTTGGATGCTCGGCAATCGATTCATGAAGGTTACGTGTCGCCGGAGTCATGTGAAACCCCACACACACACACCTTCTGACAAGCAAAATCTGGGGACACCAGATTCACTTAATAACTGGTTACTAATGACTCACTTAACTGTGGCAAGAAAGGTTATAAATGGGGCAAAACTCACTTGACAAATGTTCAACTTACCAACGTGAATTTTGGGCTCAATTGTGATTTGTAAGTCAACGACTGCCTGTATTTCTGTAGTGTGGACCAAGGACATTGGATACCGAGCGCTCATTTTGTACGTAAAATTAATTTCACTGAAAGCAAGGCCATCTTTCTAGCTGGTAAATGTTATGTATGTGGCAGCAAGCGACAAAAACATAAAAAATAAAAAGCCAACATCCGGGATCCTTTCATCCCCCTCCCCAACACTTGTTCTTAAGATTCTGGAGATGAACACCTTGTGCAGAAATTGAATCACTAATTCTTTCTGACTAGTCTAACCTATTTGACTGTTAGAAATTGAGCAGTCCCATCACCTGCTTTACAGTGTATTTTAGCAGAAAGGCAAGAAATATTGAACATATGCACCATATGCGCTTATAGGATACATGATTAATTTTGTAATTATTCAGTTGATTGACAAATAATACAACAGGAATTAAAAAGGTAACAAAAATCTAGTCCCTCCAATTTAATATTTCAAAAATTCAGCAATGCCAATGCTGAGAAAACTGTTGTAACACAAGAAATTACATCCTTGAATTTAAATTGCTTGGCAGTGGCTATTGAACCAACAAATATTAGTTGTTGGTTAAAGCAGTAAAGTATTACAGGATTGTGCATAGCTCAAATTATTTGAATAAGCAAAGGAGTACACTACTTCTTTAAAGCAAGTTTGTATTTTCTCAATTCTCATTCAAACGTGCATTTTTTCATGCAGAAAAAAAAGAACTGCTTTAAAGTGCTGTGCTCCTGTGCATTTCAAAGCATCTATTCATAATGACTTCTAAAGCAAGCCAACCCCAACTGTATACACTTAGCCTGTACTTTTTGTCCTTTTTTTTAATAAGAAAGCAATTGGGGTGCAGTATATCCAAAACTGTAAATGATATGGAATACAAGGAAAACATTCCAGAGGCTGAAGAATCTTAGTTGAATACATGTATATATAAAATTTTACCTCCAGCTATTAATAACAATGTTTTCCCTCACTGATAAGAAGTAAACAACCTCTATAATACAGGATTAAAAGTTATGAATCTTCAGGTAGGAATTACTATAGGACATCTACAGCAAAAAATGCAGAAAGCATACTAGTTTCATAAACTGTTAGTCTTCCGACCGAGAAGGCATTTCAGTTATTAAACTATTGGAAACTGTGAGTGGGTGATTTCTGTGTTCAGTTGACTTGAGTTTATTTTTCCAAACAGTAGATTAAAAGAGGTTTTGTTTGTTCCAGTGGGCTATTTTTTCCCCCAAAGCAAATCTGAGAGATGTTGCTAGAGCCACTGGCTCTCTCTAACCCTGTTATACCCATCACCAACTTCCTTTTTTAAGAAAAAAGCAAGAAAATCCAATTATTTTTGTAAAAATATTTAAGACCAGCCAATAAGTGATTACAGGTGATGCTACAGTAGATAACTTGATTAGAAAAGTAGCGTAGTAACTGATTTAGACTCCCGTACTATAAAGTTCAGTTAATCATCTTTTTTTCAAAGTTCTAATTCTGCACTCCACTTCTGCCAAGCTTTCTCTTCCACTTCCTCTGTCGTTGGTGTACTTTCTTCTTTTTCTTTTTCAAACTCATTTTTGGTTCTGGCCTCACCAGTTCGATCTCCATTGGCTTTTCTTCAGCAGGTGTTTCAAAAACTTCCTCGGTGGGATCTTTAGGAATGAGTGCTGGGTCTTCCGTACTCTTCAATTTCTGTAACTCTTTCATGTTTTGTTTTTCTCTAAATTTAGCAACTAGGGCCAGTCTTAATTCCCGACGATGCTGTAATAATAATAAAAGCAAATTAACAGGCATACTGTAAGTCATCAAAAAACTGCATATATATCAAGTAAGACCCCTAGTCTAGCTAGTTCCAGGTGTTTTTTTTTTATGGCAACTGAAAAAGCTCTGCAGCCCTTCAGATAGTTTTGTGCAACTGAACCAGAATGTTCCAGGGGTAGAATCAGAGCCCCCAATGTGCAAAGAATATCTGCCATCAGTTTCTCCCTCTTACCAGTTTCAGTTTCCAGAAATTTTAATGATTAATTAGCATTGACTGGTATTTCATTGTTTGTCCCGGAATTTAGATAGTTTACATAAGTTCTTTTTCTCCACAGTAATGATCCTGTGAGATAAGAATGAGCTAAGAGATGCATTGGCTGTCTCAAATCTACCCAATGGGTTCCATATTGAGGATAAATTTGAACTTGGATCTCCAGTTCTAATATCTAAAGGGATTGCATTACATCACTTTCGGGCATATTACCTAAAACCATGTAATTATGCAACTTAGTAGTCTTATGCTCTCTGCTATATCAAATAATGAACATGAATGTCCATCAAAGGTCTAGACATTGAAATTAAATCACAAAGTGCAACAAGATACTAAAGACTGAGCACTGTTCCTAATTAGTAATAGGGGTCAATCTAAACCAGGGGTCGCCAACCTTTTGGACCTCAGGGATCACCAAACTCATAATTTTAAATCCCAGGGACCACTAACCGGTTCTGTGGGCATGGCCTAATTTGTGGGTATGGCTTGGTAGTCATGTGACTGGCTCGGCATGGCTTGTATGTAAATATTATATTTATATAAATACTGATTTTTTTATAAAAAAGAGCAAATTTTACCCAAAATCAGGCAAAGCAGGCAGGCAGATTGAGTTGCTCACAGAATCACAGATTCATTCAGAGATCTATCTATCTGCCATTGGCTAGCTCAGTCACATAAAATTTGCTTGCAAGCAAACTCACAAAATTAACTCACAATGCACCATGTATGTAAATACTGAATTTTTTATTTTTTTAAAAAGAGCAACTTTTACCCAAAATCAGGCAAAGCAGGCAGGCAGATTGAGTTGCTCACAGAATCATTCAGTGATCTATCTGCCATCGGCTCGCTCAGTCTGTCACATAAAATTTGCTTGTTGTGAGTCTGCACTGAATAATAGAACCTTCAGTCCTAAGGGAGGTTCGGCTGTGCTTAAAAGCAGAGCCGAAGATCTAAAGACTAGCTAGAAAGCAAGAAATCCAACCATTTCCTGCTTCCTAGCTAATCTAAATCTCCCGGCACAGCAGAACAGCTGATGGTCGGAAAAAGTAAATATAGCAATTTAGCAGGCAAGTTTGCCGGGTAAGGAGTGAATGGGCAGGGAGGGTTCCCACGGGCCATGTGGGTGGCGCAGCCTTGTGTTTCTGTGCAGCCTGGATTAATTGCTTTGGGGGGGGTTGCTCTTGGGGTGAGATTTCTCTGCTGCCCACCAAAATTTTCTCACGGCCCATCGCTGATCTAAACTTATTTTATAATTTTAGTATAGAGCCATCATTTATAGTTTTGCAAATAAACTTGTACAAATGTACACATTTCTAGTCCATGCAAAGCACATTTGCACAAACATTTCTGTGCAGAGTACTCTAAGTGCACAGAATATCAAGTGTTTAAAGAAAAATGTAACAAGTTAATCTGACAAGATCAATAATCAACAGAATTCTTGTTTCAGGTATCTTGAGCTTGACTCAAAGTAACTGTGAGCCAACAGCCAGCAGTTTACAAGACTCTACTGAAGTTGATGCAGCAGCTTCCATATATAATATAGTTTGGATATATATAGCATGCAAAGGAATCACCGCCTTTTAAATAAAGACCAAGGAAACTACCTAAGATGAACTATTGGGCAAGTGCAGTAGTCATTAAGAGACAACCCAGCACAATAGAATATTGGGAAAAATAACAAAATATGGATATTTTTATTAATGGTTTGAGATGGTGCAGTCACAGCCACCAGGGTAACCAGCCAAGTTTCAGTAAGTGAGACAGAATGACACTAAGTGTGAACGCCCAGTTCGAATCCAGCATCAGCCAGGAAAGCTTGCTGGAAGACAACTGAACCAATTACTCTCTCAACCCAACCTTTTTAATACAGCATTTTATGCTGGAGAAGGCAGTTGTCCTCCCTTCTCCTTCAGCATAAACCACTTCAGGTACCTAAGAAAAAAAGGCCCGAGTTATCTAACCAATAATGAAAACAAGAATCTAGTATTACCATATTTGGAGACTGGTAATGGGGGTTTTCATACAGGGTTTGTCCTCCAAAGCTGCCCTGGAAGATCTTGATAAGGTTCAGGACAAAACGAGGCCCAATTTCAACAAGAGCTCCATCGTCCTCTATGATCTGCAACAGAAGAAAAAACAGGAATGTTTTGGCATTTGGAATCAAATTACTTAGCACCATTTGATCCAATGTGTTAACATTTTATTCTGATTAGAACTTTGAAGCACCGTGTATATGCTTAATGCAGATCAGGGGTGTCAAACTCACCTCACGATGGTGTCACATGACATAGCTGGACTTTCCCCCCTTCGGGTGTGGGCGTGGCCAGCGCGTGACGCATCCTGGCCACGGGCCGGAAGTTTGACAGCCTTGATGTAGGTGCTTAAATGCCCTTTTTTATCGCCTATTTTTTTTCCAGAGCCTTCAACCTCAGTGTACCCAAATCTTCCTGGTTTTATTATACAGGAGTTTAAGGACTTTTATAACCTGAGCACCCGAACTTTAATCCATCTCTTCTTGACCCAGGAAAAAAAAAAACCCTGAAAACTAGGAGGTCAGTGGAAAATTATCACTGGAAGAGAAAGCCATTGCTTGCAGCATGAAATTGAAATATGATTCAGTGGCTATGTAACCATTATACTGTATATGGTCCATTGTTATACAAATCAGCTTGAGCAAGCTTTAAGTTCAAACTTTGTGTTCTTCCTTTTAACACTGCATCGTCAACAATTAAGTTTGTGTAAATGCACTTTCCCATTATATATTGAGATTTGACAGCATACAAATTTGATAAACCAAATAAATAAATTCCAAGCTCTAGTTAATTACTGTGTCTTTGAAAAAGAAATCATGGAATTCTTATTTAATTTTCATTAAACTTCAATTAAATTTCACAATTTGTCTCTGTACAGAATGACAAACTGAAAAAAAAACTTAATCAATCTGAAGGAAAACAATTCTTCCAGTTCTGTTGGAAAAAATAAGGATCATAAGCGGCTGCATAAAATCTACTCCTGCTTGCTGGCTCACCGTCTTGAGCTCCATTTCACCACCAGCTCTACAAAGGCAGAAAGCCTTAGTGAAGGAGTACAACAAAAGTATGAGAAACCTATGTCTTCATGTGCACGCTGATCTTCCTCATCTATCAACTGGCAGGCTTAAATCCAGGAAGCCCTCTCTGGCACTCGCTCAACAGCTATCTAACAACTTTGACATCAACACACGGTGGAAAGCCAAATGGGCTGCTGAACACCCAAATACAGGCAGTTACGTAGATGACCCTACACAAAAGGTGCCAGATTTTGAATTTCCTTGCCAGCATTGGTCAACTCTGAACAGGATCCGTAACCATGAGTCTGCTGGGACTCATTGTTTAAGTAGGGTCTTGTCTCTACCCATCAGTGTGACTGTGGTGCTCCTCAACAAAAATATCCATCACAATGTGTCCGGATGCCCATCAAGAGCCCACACTGGCCCAATGTCTGATTTTTTTTCAACACAGACCACCCTGTCCTTGAATGGCGTCTATGTATTTGCCATACGCTAAATAAATAAATGTGCAAAAAACAACAACCCGAGAAGTAGGCAAACTCAGAGCTTGCCTAGGATGGTTTTCACAATTGTTACTGTAACACAATGCACCATTGTTACATATATCACTACCAAATTCAGATTCCTGGCTTTGCTGTTGACATCACCTGATCAATTTTAATGAAGGGTTTTAAAAATATACATAAATCATCCAAAGCTAATCTAGTGAAGGAAAAAATAACTTGAAAAAAATAACCATTTAATCTCTTCTGGGTTGGACCTCTATGGTCCTGTTCTTTCTCAGAGGACAGGAACTCAGAGGTTCCTGTCGCTATTGTTGACTAGCACCCGTAAGTAAAATGGGAAGTAACCTGATAATTTCGAAACCAGATCCTCTCGTCCGTGATGGAGAAGGTGAAAACGTGATCTACAAAAGGCTGACTCCTGGGATGATACTGTGGAGTACTAAAGATCTGGTCAAGAGAAATGAGAGCACTGAATGATTAATGCAATCATAGTCCCAGATGGGTATCACAAAGATCACACATTCCATTCCAGTCTGGTCAATTTGTTGCTATTAAAATAGTTTGAATACAC